AAGGTTCTATATAGATCCCCTAGCATTGCGCATGAGATGAATTAATTGTTTCTAGGATGCCAATATATAATATTTCAGTGTATCTTTATGGGATGGGCTGATAAGTGTCAGAAGTAGCCATAAAGGTAAGGAAAATTTCCCTCAGATTGAGCTCAGCTGCAGGAAATAATATGAATAGAATATCAGAGAAAGAACTTCTACTTCCGTGCTCCCTTTTTTTTTATTGAGGACAAATTCACATAACATACAATTAACCATTTTAAAGTGCACAATTTAGTAGCATTTAGTTCATTCATGATACTGTGCGCCCCACCACCTCTCGCTAATTTTTAAATGTTTTCATCAACCCATACCCATTATCACTCTCCACCCCACCCACCATCCCCTGGTAACCATCAACCTGCTTTCTGTCTTTATGAATTTGCCTATTCTGGATATGTCATAAAAATGGATTAATAGAAAATGCGGCCTTTTGTGTCTGGCTTTTTTCACTTAGTATAATGTTTACAGGTTCATCCAACTTGTAGCATGTATCAGAACTTCATTCCTTTTTATGGCTGGATGATATTCCATTGTATATATGTACCACATCTTTATCCATTCATGCATTGATAGACATTTAGGTTGTTTCCACGTCTTGGATGTTATAAATAGTGCTGCAGTGAACATGGGGTACTTTTTTTTTTTAAATTAGTGTTTTTGTATTCTTCAAGTAAACAGCCAGAAGTGGGATTGCTGGATCAGTTGGTAGTTCTCCTTTTAATATTTTGAGTAACCTCCATACCATTTTCCATAGCGGCTACACCAGTTTACATTCCCACTAACAGTGCACAGGAGTTCCCTTTTCTCCAGATCCTTGCCGACATTATTTCTTGTCTTTTGATAATAGCCATTCTAACAGGTATGAGGTGATACTTCATTGTGGTTTTGATTTGCATTTTCCTGATAATTAGTGATGTTAAGAATCTTTTCATGTACCTATTGATTTGCACATTTTTAAATTTGGGTTTTTCTTTTTGTTCTTGAATTGTAAGAGTTCTTAATATTTTCTGGATATGAAACCTTTATCAAATCTATAATTTGCAAATATTTTCTCCCATTCTCTAGGTTGTCATTTCATATTCTTGATAATGTTCTTTACACATGTGCCTCCCCATTTCTGGGCATGCAGAAGAATATATTCTTTGAAAACATCTGTGAGGCTTATACTATTACTTATTTTTGTATCTGCATTTTGTTTTCATCTCCAAAAGTTCTTACATTAATTTTTTATTTGCTCTCCACCTATGGGCTCAAGGAAAGCATTTTGCTTCTGTTTCAGTTAAAATAACTCAGACATATAGAAAATAATAGAGATATAGTATTTTTAAAGTCTATGTTACCATTGAGATAATGAATAAAGCATGATACTTAGAAACACAGTGTTATTTGGCCGTTTTTAGCTCTACTCTTAGACCAAAAGTTGTTGAGGACTGTTGTCTAATTGTGACAATAGGGGAGGGGAATGTGAATGACCCCACCAAAACCATTTTGAAAAGGAAATATTGTTACTTTTTTCCCCTGTGCATTTATCATAAAGACATTTAATAATTAACCAATAGACAATGCTAATTTGTATGTTCTCATTTTTCAGAAACTTACTCAAGTTTATAGAACTCTTCATGGAGCTTACACAAAAATTCTGGAGGTTATGCACACAAAAAAAAGACTGTTAGGCACTTTCTTCAGAGTTGCTTTTTATGGCCAAGTAAGTATACTTTAGTTCATAAAGTTCTTTTTCTTTTTAAACATTCACCTTTGAATTATTAGATTACTATAGCAGCAGTTACTGGTTCTAGGATTCTGTCTAGAGTGCCTATCACAACAGCAGGAAGCCTCTTTTGTAAGTGTAAAGTCCACTGGTTCTCATCTAAATCCATTAGGGCAGAGTACAATGTAGAAGATATGAATTTTTCCCTCACTTTCATTTTCTGTTAAGCTTCTACAAGTATATAGCATCTAGTGGTACAAGCTTTCAAATTAAAAAAAAAAAAAGATAAGTATAATGAGAAAAATCTAGTGTGGAAATCTTCAGGCCAACAATATGTTCATATGACTGTGAGTCTGAAAATTCTTGTTTATTTGAAGTTAAAAGGGATATATATGGATGTGGCTTTTAGTGCTATTATTTAAAATGCATTTCAAATGCATTAGTACTGCTGTGTAGTAGATTTTCTTTAAAAGCTGTTTGCTCATGCTATTTATAAATTATTGTATGTTTAACTTTCAACAGTCTTTTTTTGAAGAAGAGGATGGAAAGGAGTACATCTACAAAGAGCCAAAGCTCACTGGCCTCTCAGAGATTTCCCTGAGACTTGTTAAACTCTATGGGGAAAAATTTGGTACAGAGAATGTCAAAATAATTCAGGATTCAGACAAGGTAATTATACCCTGCATTGTGAAATCATTATTTGTTAATTCCAAGCATGATGCATTGCTCCTGACTTTTTCCTTTTATTAGCTGGTGGAGGAGAAGCATGGAAATATAGAGCCTTTCCAGATAGTGAAAGAAAGAACAGGGACTTTGGAGTCAGAGAATAGGATTCAAATCTCTATTCTCTGTCACTTGCTAGCAGTGTTATCATGGGGGAAGTTACTTAACTTCTCTGTGCCTTATTTCTTCTCATCAGTTAAATGGAGATAATAATAGTGCCTTCCTAATGGAGTTGTTATATGGATTAGGTGAGCTAATATATGGAAAGCAATTAGAGTTCCTGGTATGTAAAAAATATTCACTAATGATAATAGAAACCAGCATGCTTAATAAGGGTTATTATGAATGGTGTTGTTCATCATGATTCTCAGTTTCATACTTTATGATTAAAATCATCTTGGGACACATGTTTTTCTAAGATACCCTTAGTTCAGTAGTTACATTTGCCACGACGTGGAGAGATGCCTTGGGCCTTGCTCTAAAGGTTATCTATTCCAGCAAGAGAGGCCTTTTCTTGGGAAATGCATAGTTCCCTATAGACAGAATTTCAGGAAAGCAAAATAAGAATACCTAACTGTTCTTAGTCACCACGGGAGTGCCCAAGATGAGAGCCGATATTTAAGGTAGAAAGGATCTATACAATTAGGATATGTAGGCCACAGCGATATGTACTAAGTGACTCTGATGTGCATAGTGCTATACAACGCACTTAACAGCTAGTAGGCAGCATTGCCAGAAAAGCCCATTCACTTTGGAGACTTCCCTACATTTCTTAGAGATGGTTTTATCTTGAACATATATACCGCAGACACTTAAAAATAGATTTGCTGGTAGATCCAGAATTCATTTATTTTTGGCAAAACCTCTCTACTTCTTTCCTTTTCAGTTTTACTATTTTGTGTTGTTTTACTGAATCAAGACAACAGAAGATTTTATCTCATTGTAGCAGATAGTCTAAGGCTGATTGCCACACTACTGATACTATAAATGGAAAGTTAATGGAAAGCCAGGCTTTGCTGAAGAACATACAGTTTTCTACTTTATTCTGCCTCTGAAAACCTGGCCAACATGTGCTAGTGACAAACTACCATCAGGCGGCTGGACTCCTGACATAATTTGTATGCACAATATTTTAGTCATTCCCCATAGGCAACAGACATAATAAGTAGTTGCTACTTTTAACATCCTTGTTTTATTCTTAATGTGTGAAAGTAAAATTAAAAACACTCTTTACCTTGCCAAATAACAAAATCTGCTTAAGAATACCAACAATGTAAAGAGCAATTTGGTAATATATTCCAATATTTTAAACTGTATGTGTTCTTGAACCAAACAGTTTCACATTTAAGACTTAATCTTGTAGCTGTACACACATAATAGATGTATGTTTAAAGGTACTTATTGCTGCAGAGTTTATATAGCAAAAACCTGAAAGAAATCTAGCTTTGCATGTGGCTGAAGAAGTGGTGGTGTTACCCATATTATAATCGATATAGTAACCTAGATGTTAAAAAATTGAGGTAGGTTAATATTAATAATTATAAATCTACCAAGATATATTATTAAGGGGAAAAGATGAGTTGTGAGTAGTATGGGTAGGATGATCACGCTTGTGTAAAAACTGATATTCACATACTCACTTGTATATGCTTAGGAAATTTATGGAATAAGACATACAAAATTGTTAACCATGGTTACCTAAGGAGAGGGACTAGAGTCTTACATGGGAAGAAAGAAATCTCTTAACTTTTCATATATACTATTGTGTACTCTTTGAATGACTTACCATATACATATTTTACTTTTATAAAGTTAAAACCAAGCTTGACCTTTTTTTTTTTTCTTTTTTAATTTCCCTTGTATGTTTTCTTAGCCAGATAATTACCTCACCTATCTCCTGAGTGTTCACTGGAGAAATCTAGCTTTTTAATAGGAGAGAAAAGAGGGTTAAGGTTTCTGGAGATAGGCTTTTAGGTTTTTATGTTTGAGCAAGTAGAATGGATTTGGAGAAGTTAGAAGATGCTAAGAAACTTTCTATCCCCTGTCTGTCCTCTTGTATATAAGGAGAAACAGAAAGGTTATAGGAACTGTCTTTTAAGAGGTTTTCGTTGTTTTTGTTTGTTTCATTTTTTGTTTCCTAATCTAAACACAAAAATGCCTGACTATGATAACCAAGGCACAAGTCAACTTCCGTTCACTTAAACACTAAAAGAGGATCCTGGGCATCATCGGGAGTTAATGGAGAGAGTGTTGGAGGGGAGGGTGTTAGAGCCCACAGATTGAAACGCCAACAGGGACAGTTCTAGGGTTTGCCTTTGGCAGCATAGGTTCTTAAGATGGAATTTCGGCTCTTCATATGAAATGAGGTCCCCTTCCTCAATAGGATAGGATTAATGCAGTCAAAAGAACCCACTCTTATGGTGTCACACACTGCTTTGTGGATGTACAAATTGGTAAGCTTTTCTGTAGGTTAATTGGATAATATATATCAAAACCCTTAGAACCATGTAAATATTTTAACCAAACAACTTCTTTTGTAATAATTTATCTTAAGGAATGAGTCAGGAAAAAAGATACATACAATTTTTTAATGCAGCGTTCATCACAGCATTATTTGCAAGAGCAAAAAGTTAGAAACCAACCCAAGAGTCTGGTAATGAGGTACTGGTCCAATAAGTCATGCTTATCCACATAGCCATTAGAAGTCGTGTTGATGACTGCAATATAGAACTATAATAATTATGTTTTATTGTGGTAAAATACACTTAACATTAAATTTACTATGCTAGCCACTTTTAAGTGTACAGCTCAGTGATATTAACTTCATTCATATTGTTGTACAATAATCACCACTATCCATCTTCAGAACTCTTTTTATCTTATAAAATTATTATTTTTTTAATTTATTATTATTTATGCCTATAGCACCTGGTCTTCCTGGGCGGTCTCCCATCCAAGTACTAGCAGGCTCGACCCTGCTTAGCTTCCAAGATCAGACATTAGGCTTTTTCAGGGTGGCATGGCCATAGGCCATAGACCGTGGCTCCACTGGGGCACAAACCCAGGACTTTTGCATGTAAAACAGACATGCTAACCGCTACACTATGGAACCACGTCCATATCTTGTAAAATTAAAGCTTTATACCCTCAGCCCCTGGCAACCATCGTTCGACTTTGTCTCTATGATTTTGACTTCTCTAAATACCTTGTATAAGTGGAATTGTATAGTATTTGTCTATTTGTGGCAAGTTTATTTCACTTAGCATAATGTCTTCAAGGTTTATTCATGTTATAGCATATTGCAGATTATTCTTTTTTAGGGCTGACTAATATTCTGTTGTAAGTTTTTACTGATGCAGGGCAAATTTCCGCAAGTAACAGGATACCAAGCCCTGTACCGAGAGAAGACAAGGGTCCTTTGGTGGAGAGTGTAGAAAGAATTCAACACATGCGCCAAAGTTAGAGTCAAAAGGAAAGTTTATTAGAAAAGGGATAACACTCCACAGAGTGTTGTCTCCTCTCAGAGACAGAGAGCCAGAGGGACAGTGCAAGAGATAGAGAGACGAGGACAGTGAGAGAGACAGAGTAAAGGCACTGAGATGGGACCCCGAGTGTTCAGAGAATTCAGTTTATATGTCATTCTTTAGTTCCCATTTCCTTTGATATGGACATACTGTGAGGAAGGGGAAGAGTATTTAGCGTGAAAAGATAAGAATATGTCGAGTGAAAGTCCTGCTGGGGGTTCCTAGCCTTTAATCCATAGGTTCCCCATGGTTTTAGCCATAGGGAATGACTCTTGGTTCTTGTTTCCCCTTCACAGATGTGGAGAATGGGTTGTTAGCAATCCCAGCAGATATCTTCCTTTGTTCTGAAGGTGCCCTCCTGGCCTGACTGCAGGGCTGATCAGCATGTTGCAGTCTCTGATTGTGGCTTGGTTAACATTTTAATTCTCTTGCCTCCTCCCTACATTATTAATACCACGTTTTGCTTATTCATCCATTAGTGGACACTTGGGTTGCTTCCAGGTTTTCACTATTCTGAAGTGTGCTTTTCTAGGAACATGTGCATTGCTGCCTGATGTGGGGCTGAGGGGTTGAGTGTGGTGGGTGGCTGCCATTGTGCCAAGAGCTAAAACTTTTCAAAATTGAAATTAACCGCAATTTTCTGTCTAAGCCTTCCCCTGGAAATTCTAAGCCTTCAATAGACTCTATAGTTCCCAAATAGTTACATCAGACAGATTCTGCCAGTATAAGTGTTGTCTAGATAGGAAGATAGATTTCTGGTGCTCTGCCATCTTCTTGGAATCCGCTCTGTAATAAATGTTTATTGAGGTGGAATTCAAATGTACAATTAACCACTTTAATGTACTTTTAAGGATTCAGATTATAAAACAATGTTCAGTATTATCTCAGTTTTGTAAATACATGTGCATAGAAAACATTGGAAGGAAATATATGAAAATGTGAATAACGGTCACTGCTGAGTGGTAGGATTACAGTTTTTATTTTCTTCCTACATTTCTGAAATCTTCAAATAGGTTTCTGTAATTTCTTTATAATCAGAAGGAAATAATCTTTAAAAAAAGAACGAAGACCTTCTCCAGGTGTCTATTCAGTTGGGAGTACAATCATAACGGCAATGTTCCTCAGTTGATCTCAAAGGAGTTAGTAACTTATCTGTATGTACCTCTTTTTCCCTTCTTTTGAATAAAATACAAAATTTTCCTATTTTATAGGTAAATGCCAAAGAGCTTGATCCAAAATACGCTCATATCCAAGTTACTTATGTGAAGCCCTACTTCGATGACAAAGAACTCACAGAAAGAAAGACTGAGTTTGAAAGAAACCATAATATCAACAAGTTTGTTTTTGAGGCTCCTTATACATTAACAGGCAAAAAGCAAGGCTGCATAGAAGAACAGTGCAAACGACGTACAGTCTTGACTAGTAAGTAGGACTTTGCATGATAACTTCTTGTTTGACTTGGTCCTTTTTGGTAAACACAAGTAGCAGCTGGCCAGCCGGAAAATGTAACTGAAGTTTTAATCATTCATTGTTCTGCTGTTCAGTCACTAGCTTGCACAAACATGGCTATGTTATAAACCATAGTTTTCCTGTCTGTAATTTGTGATTGCTCTGAGGCGTCTCATAAAGAGAATTTCTCCCTCAGCCCTGAAGTAAGAAGGTACTATATGGTACCCTAAGCTATTGTCTAGAGAAAGCATGGGGGAAAATTAAGCAGAGTGGATTTTTTCGTTAATTTGGCTGTTTGAACAAATGATTTTTTAAGATAGTAAATCAATCTTAACATTTTAATAGCTTCAAACTCATTTCCGTATGTGAAGAAGAGGATCCCTATAAACTATGAACAGCAGATTAATTTAAAGCCAATTGATGTTGCTACGGATGAAATAAAAGATAAAACTGCAGAGCTGCAAAAGCTTTGCTCTTCTGCTGATGTGGACATGATCCAGCTTCAACTTAAATTGCAGGGCTGTGTTTCAGTGCAGGTATGTTGGTTGCCAAACATGTATTAAATACTTCTTGATGTTCCACTTGCTTTCCTAAGGGCACAGAGCAAGCGTTAATTATAATTGTGTGTTATACTCTTATTGAGTACAAAAACCTGTGCGGTATATTTTTTTATTAACTGTAAGAAATTATGTTCAATTCCTATAAATTTTGTATTATGTCAGAGGACTTTACCATAAATCCTACTTACTGTAGCCAAGCTCAATATTTACATATCAGAAATCATTAATTAACTTATTAGAATATCATCTTTGCAGATTATTTGCTCTAGTTAATCATTTTTCAAATAAACTTACAGTAAGAGTAGTAACTGTTTCTCAGATACAGATTTTTAATTTTTTAAAAGAGAAATGCAAAAATTACTTTCTGATTACATTCTGATAACTCATTTTTCTCCTTTTGTAATTCAGGTAAATGCTGGTCCATTAGCATATGCAAGGGCTTTCTTAAATGACAGTCAAGCCAGCAAGTATCCACCTAAGAAAGTCAGTGAGTTGAAAGACATGTTTAGGTAAGTAAGTGCTTTGCAGTTTTCAGATCAGATCTCTATTCTTTGACTACATTTTTTTCTTAAAAGAAACCAGAATATTCACCAAATAATACCCTTCCAAAAAAGAACATTCTTTGTTCTCTGTTACAATATATAAGTGACCTCGTAATGGTACTTTAGTGAGGAAACCCGGGCTCTCTTTCTTGCTGCAGGGCATTAACAATGTCCTAGTAATCCAAGAGATTAAATATATCAATTTACTTGATTGCTTTGGATGTTGTGACACAAACAGAAGCCTGATTCATTACATGATTTCCTCCTTTGCCCAGATGACTCATGTTACAGCATTTTCAGACCATTTAGGGTAGGAATAAAGGTGGAACTGGAAGGGTTGGAGAGGCTTGCTCCTGTCCTTTGTCCTTAGTTCCACTTGGATTCTGCCAGTCTAGGGCATGTAATGGCTTGTCTTAACTAAGCATCCCGGTAACCTAAGGCATGTCTGAATGGTCTTCCATTTGAAAAAAAAAAATCTGCTTAGTATATAAACAGAGTTTACATTCAGAGTAAGGGAGACAGTTGAATAAAATTGACTAAAGAGAAAGATCTTAAGTGATCCACTCATTTGCTCCCAACTTATTTCATTTACTTTTCCTATGTGTTATTAGCTGTTGCAGATTGCAGAATAACCGATAGTCATTCATTCACCAATATTTATTAGTGCCTAACATGTACAAAAAGATTCTACTAGTTGTTAAGATGAGGATACAAGACAAATGGGCCATGAGGTACTTTGTCTCCTAAGACCTATACTCTAATTATGGACATTAAACATAAACACAGTAAATAATGGAAAAATACTTTTATGAGAAATCATCAACTCTCTGTCCCCACTCTTAACCAGCCCAGGGCAGATACTTCATACCCACAGCACCAGCACTGTACTGGGTACATAGCAAGCCCCAAATAATTTATTTTGAATTAATGACTCATTATCTACAGATGCAAATTAACATTAGCACAAATTTAGGTGATATAATATCAGGCAAATGACTGAGCATGTAGGCTTCCTCTAGAGGGTATATGTTTTGAATCAGGTTTTGAAGGAAATAAGAAACCTGAGAGAAAAGAAAGAAAAGAACGGAAAAGGTATTGCAGACTTAGGAAGTGGCATTAGCAAAGGCACAGTGTGAAAATATAAAATTTTAATCTTCCTTCTAGGCAAGCCACGTGAATATCAAATTGCATGTCAGTGAGACTCTCCAAAAGTAAATAACAAAACCTTTATCTTCACTCTTCATCCACAGGAAATTCATACAGGCATGCAGCATTGCACTTGAACTAAATGAGCGGCTAATTAAAGAGGATCAAATTGAGTACCATGAAGGGCTAAAGTCAAATTTCAGAGAAATGGTGAAAGAATTGTCTGACATTATCCATGAGCAGGCAAGTATTAGGGTGGTTGAAAATGAAAACCCAATCTGGGGTTTTTAAAGTTTCACTTAGCAAAATCTATTAGCTCGAAGTACATTACCTTACCTTGAAATTACTCAGTCTGTATTTTAAAATTTGCTTATATTATTATTAATTATTTAAATGACATAATGCAAATCGAATTTGAAGCAATTATCAATAACAAATCATACTGTTCTTTGTGCCACAGTACCATTAGAAGCAACTAGTTGCACAAGTCTGAGTTGATCTGTGAACATGGATGAGTCTCTCAAGAAGGGTCCTAAAGAAGTGAAATGACTGGCTCAATAGTCACATTCCTAAACGAATACCCCTATTTTGTCTGTAAGAAACTAGATACTGTCATTTAAGTGAGATACCAAGTGATGTCTAAAATTTGGGAATTGTCTTACTACCCATATAGCCTGCAAAACTTCCCATTTTCGTAAAAGATCTTACATTTTTATCTGTAACTGAGTATTAATAACAATTACAGCTAACTTAGTAAAGCACAACCTGGAAAATGTAAAAGTGAAGACCCATTCACCACTTAAAGCCAAATTATATCATTATTAAGTAATTAATGCCTTTATATACCTACTTACCTTAAAACTAGAGGACTCCTGGATTATCCTGGTAAATGTCATTCCTATCTTGGTGGTCTTGAAATTTGTGTTTACAACCACTCTGTTCATAGATTGTCACTTAAGCATTTTAATATCTTAAACACATTTGTAAAAGGTGCAGCATGATGGTCTGGTTCCTCAGTGATTGAGCTTCTTAAGCTTATTATAAAGACTCCTTCATTTCCTTACTCAGGGAAACATCCAATGATATAAATATTTGCTTCAGAAACTCTTCAAACTCTACTCTGAATTTTTAAAAAATTAAGACACCTTAAAAGAAGTAAGGATAACTACAACCCTTTAGAGAACACATTCTTAAAGCTAGCCCCAGAAGTGAGAGCCTCATCTGTCCTGCTATCTGTATTTCAGTGATTGCTTGAAGGCACTCACTTATGTGAGACTGTCACACAAGGCTGACAGTGGTTATCATCCAAAGAATGTAGTGGAATGATGGGGAAAAGAAGCAAAGAGTTTTTCTAGGAAAACAAGAACTAGTTGACTTTAAATCAAGCTCTACCTCTATGAACTTATTTTGTCTGCTTTTTCTAAGAAAGAGCTATGGGAAATTTAGTTACAGTTAGCCCAAGGAATTAGCTCAAGGCTGTATTAAGTGATAAGGCATCCAGTTTTCCAACCATTTTCATCTCAGCATGAAGAATCCAGTCAGCCAAACTTTCATCGTCCCATCTGTTCAATGACCAGTTGCCCCAGCCTCCTACTTGCCCATTTTCTATGGCTATGAATCTTGTTGGCCTGAGGAGTCTTTACTTCTATTAGCCCACTTAGGAGTGAGTGCAAACTGTCCGAAGGCATCTTTTTGATGCTCAGTTTTCAGAAGCCCTTTTTTATCTCCTTCTCAAAGCAGCCAAGTAATCAAAACTAAGAAGGTGGGGAACTATTCCATTTTGCCAATTATCTATCTCAAGCTTAGCCCATGAGTACAGTGGGGATATACCTTTCTTTACCATCACTGTTATGAGGTATACATTTATCAAATAGATGGCATAATTTGTTCCTAGAAGCTGTCAAGTTTATGGGTTTCTATTTTTCATAATCCTTGGAGGGGGGACAGCAAAAGCTCCTCCACAAAAGATATAAAATAATTACACATTGTTTTAAGCAAATGTGTACTATATTACAATTATTTAATTTGCATGCAGCTGCATGACCTAGCCTAGCTGCATGAACTCTAAATCATTCAAGTTGAAGACAAATTATTCAATATGCTGCTATTACTGCGATCAAGATATTTAGAGCAGTCATATTTATAAAGTTCTTTTTTTCTCCCTTGAAGCATAGATTTTACAAATCTGCTCACGTATGTCCCACCTTTGTCTCTCATTTAATTCCCATAAATCATGGCTATTTTATTTAGTTGTAGAGACCAATATTTTAGACCATTGATTTTATGTGTGTGTGTGTGTGTGTGTATATATATATCTATATTGAACAATGTTAGGTTCCATTGTTTTTATTTATGCAAACTCTCTTGTATAATGAATGCATCAATTTCAGATGGCAAATGTTGACTTCATAGTGAACTTTTTTTAAATTAATTTATTTATGGTGACATTGGTTAACAAAATCGAATAAGTTTCAGCTGTACACTTTAACAGTAAGGCATATATATACATAGTGAATTTTTGTAATCAATATTTCCTTTTAGATTCTCATATAAAAGAGAACCCTTTTGTAGTCATACACATTGTGACATATTATTTCCCAAAGGAAAATATAATACAAAATAAAATAAACTGTAACTGTGTATTGAAATATGAATTTTTCTGTTGCACTTTAGAAATGATTACATAACAAAAATGGCCTGGATATTTCTTTTCAGTGTAATCTGTTATAGTATACCAAAATATACAGTCCTTTTTAAAACTTATTCAAGCTTTTGACTTTTTAAAAGGGATTTGTATTTTCTTAAAACAATTACAGATTTCTTAATTAGATAGGGTTGGTGATAGCCATTATAGTGTCTATCCGGTATGTTTTATTTTCTTCACAATGAGTTACCCTGTTCACTTGTCACATCTGACAGGCATGGATAATCAATTAGTCATCTCTTAAAACCTCTACTATGCTTTCAGATATGGGCATGAGTGATGATTGTCGGAAGAGAAAATTTCTCTCATTATGGACTCTATATAAAAGTCATGATTTGTAGGAACATAAATGATATGACACATTACTGCCACCATAGACAAATTTGCAGGCTTCATACTGAAGTTTCAGAGCTAACTTGAGAACCAAGTATTGAAAGCTTGAGAACTCAGTTGGGACTATGTACTGAAGAGGTTGGATATGATGTGTATGGTATTTTTTTTTTTTTCTGTCTAATCCAAACATACAATCTCTTGCTTTTGATCACACAAAATGGATAATTAAAAAATATACTGATATGAATACATCTGTTTTATATATGGGATATAAAATGTATTTTTATGAACTTCATTTACATAAGAATTTTCTGTATGAATTAGCTTATGTAATTATAGTGCATCTTTAAATATATGCTCTTATGACTTTTCATTTACTATTATTTCCCAAGTCCCCAGGGAAGGTGCATGAGTATCTGCATGTTTGAAAAGCCCCACTGGAGATCCTGAGAACCACTTTGTTAGAAGATGGTCCATAAACTTGTATCAAAGAGGCCACTATTTAGAGCTCTTCTTATGACCATATGTTAAAAAATATTTTGAAGATTGTATTACTGCTCATTTTTATTGAATTTTGCATTTTGCAATCTTTTGTTTTTCTTAACAAATAACCAGATCTTTTCTGCTTTTTTGCTACGCTGCCTTTGTAATACAGCTTTGAAGACTTGAGTCGGTAATGTTATTCTTTCCTCTTTATGCTTTATGTCATTTGTAAATAGCTAAGTGTCAGTGATAAATTGAAATATGCCTATAATTTCATATACATATACGTTTTTGGCAGTGGCTATTTTGCTTCGTGATAAACATGCAGATTTCTTTTGTTTTAGATATTGCAAGAAGACACAATGCATTCTCCCTGGATGAGCAACACATTACATGTATTTTGTGCAATTAGTGGTACATCAAGTGACAGAGGCTATGGTTCCCCAAGATATGCTGCTGAAATATGAGGACGTGCAGATGTAAAGTGAACGAGATTAACCTTTCTCGGGAATATTTGGAGCTGTGCAAATGTTAAAATTTAAGGATTTGATAAACATGGAGTATTTTCTTCTGACACCAAAATGTTCATGCTTTCAAACAGGGTGCTTACTTATTTGTAAATATTTAAGCAAATTGGAAGTGCCTGGAAAATTGCACCACTGTGTTTGGTTTGTACTTTTTTAGGTAAATCTATATACTTGGAATTAGAGCTCAAAAAGCATGAATTCTAATTGCTTAATTATTGCTTACAATAATAATGGTACTATGTAAAATTGTATAATGGAACACAATAAAAGGTAAAACTTATTTGTAATTAGAAGTGAAGGAAATAATACTTTGAACTCAGCATTTTTCTTGACAGAAAGCTCAATTCATTATCATACTAATCCTTGGAGGAAAAAAATGATCAAATTTCCATAAAACATGGGTATTTCAGATTGGGAAGATATTTTGAAATCTTGCCTAGTATTCAAATCTGGGCCAAAGGAAACGAAAGCATTATTTAAAAAGGAAAATTTCTAAAAGTACATATATAAAAATACCAAACTTCCAGTTTTGATCTGATGATGCCAGATAATTGAGTTGATCTCCTCCAATATACAAGACAAGGGATTGACATGTGGCGTGAGTTTCCCTAGCAAGCAGCATTTGTGGCCAGAGCTTCATCATCCGACTCTATCCATAAAGTAAACAAAGCATTTCTGAGGATTTGTAGTCATTACATACTATGCAGTTTGAAAGTTTTACCAACAGGGCTTGAGGTAGGCATTTGTAGTGATTACTGTCTTCAGTTCAGTTTAACAAGTATTTTGATAGAACTTAATAGTTGCAGCATTTCTTGGGTCAGTATACATAACCATCAGAGACTCCGCAACTGCTCGTCAGGGATTACATTTCTAACAATGAAGAAATCTCAGACTACCTTAATAATTCATGAGAAACCAAGATGTGAAGAAGTATTTTAACTTGAAGTATCTATATAATTTTGGTTGCCTTTCATGTTAACTTTAAGTTTTAGACTTATTTCTCTTATGTAGGTTAGCCTATTAAAAAAAAAAGACACTGAAATATAAATGGATTTTATGGAGCCTTGGCTTTTTAACTACTTTGTGATCAAGTAAATCTTAGAGATTATGCTCCTCGCTTGGTGATTTTTTTTCTTTACATGTCATTTTTAAGCTTTCAAGGGAGCATGAAACCATTTATTGAAGGTTAATTTTATATTTCAATAGGGGATACAGAAATTTCAGAGGCAGTTTGTAATTCCTTAATGTCTTAGAGTAACCTGTAGAGTTAGTTTCACCTTTAAAGTGAATATATTTAGTATGGATGTATAAAGGGCTGTCACCTAGAGTGAGTGCTGCCATCTGAAAATGAGGCATCTTGGGGAAAGTCCAGTGCTCTTTTGTCAGTAATTAGACCCTATCACATCCCAAGCACGGTGTTGTGCACTGTGGGTAATTTTTAAGTATAATAAATGGCCCTTGCCTTAAAGAACTTGCAATCTACTTGGGGAGGCAAGATATACACAAAATGAAATAATATAAGAATTAACAATATAAGAGAAGAAAAGTTGTATATGAGCATTGCCAAATGAATGACATTATCCACAACTTACCACATTCAAGGAATGAGAGGTTACTGTAAATTTTAATGTTCAGGGATGGTTTCATGGACAAAAGTGAGCCTTGAACAGGCTTTCTAAATGAGAGGGTGTACTGGACAGGCGTAACATCATGAGCCAAGATGCAAAAAGAATTAGCAGAAGTTCAGAAGGTAACGAGACCAATTTTGTTCAAGGGAGTGGTAGATGATAAATCTAGAAAGAAAATGTGGACCTAGATCTTGGAGGGCCTTAAATGCCAGGCTAGTAGTGTTTAGACTTTACCCAGTAAGCATGGGGGGAGCAAGTCAAGGTTTTTAAAGAGATTACTTGATCAAATGTTATTTTTAGAGATTTAATCCTTTATATTGCTGCCAGATGTATTTAGGCTGAGAGAGATGAAAATATGGAAACCCATTAGACAGTTACTGCAGTATTTCAGTTATGAGTCCACAGACCCCTAGATATGAACAAGAAAGGACAAGAGATATGTGATTTGAACATTGAACTGGGAATAAAATTGTGGTATCAAATGAAAACATAAGACTGAGAATTACCAATGCTAAATAAAATATAGCTTAATGAAAACAAATATTATGTGGAAAGACTGGACATGACTTATTGATGGTTAAGGAGAAAAGAGGAAAAGTTAAAAATTTGTATCCTACAGCCAATGAGTTCTCCAGGTCATGGCACAATTTCACTGTATTTCTTTCGCCAACTTTTAGAGTAATGGCAGAAAGCTATAGAGAACAAGGCGGGCTAGACTAGGGAAGGCCAGTTAAATGTGTTTTGAAACAATGTATACATTAGGTATTATATAGTTTAATGATTTCATGAAGTGATTTGGCCTCTACAAATTAGTTAACATCAGAGAATACATTTCTACTATACTGATTATTTCGCAGTTCCCCTGGAGGCTATTGTTTTGATAGTCTTTGAACATATTGTAAAATGTGAATAACTCACTATTGATAGTCTTAGTTTATCACTATAGTGATAACCCATAGAGAAAATAATTCCATGCAAATGTTCCTGGTAACCTGTTGGACCAATGGCATCGTGCCTATAGATGGGATTGTTATTGTTACCAATATTTATGTGACTTGATTGCCTATATAAACATCTTTTTAAAGATGAAATAGAAAGCAATAATGGTAGCAACAGCCTTGGAACCTTGACCAACATATCATAGAATGAGAGATGTCTCACTGTTTAATTTATTAATAGACTTACTAGGTCCTCATAATAAAAAACAAGCTTTTTATCATAAATACTAGTTTGCTCAGGTTCTTTGTCTCAGATAAAACCAGTATTGGAATAATAGAAATTTCCAAACATTAAGATATTAATAATCATATATATTTCAGGCTTGTGATTCACAAAACCATGGGCTATTTTCAGTCTCAGTCTTGTTCTAACAGTACACGACTTCAGCTATCAAAACACGAAGGAATAGAATAGCAGTTGGTTGCAGATGGGATATGGGTTTGTGTAACAAGGCTATTCCCCTATCCTGGGAGTTGGCTCATAAGAGTGCCATTTATCTGGTTCCAATTATGATAAATATTTTTTTCCCTAGTCCCTAACCACATAATGGTCACTCTCTAAGAAAAGTGTATATGTGTTTATCCAACTTCTAATTGAAATTCTGACTAAATTCTTCAAAGATTTTGCCTCGGTATATAGCATTTTAAAACTTTCTCCAACATGCTTTTTTCTCTTCTGTTTTCCATTTTTATTGAGATATAATTCACAAAGCATAAAATTCACCCATTTAAAAGGCAGAATTCAGTGGTTTTTAGTATATTCATAGAGCTGTACAGCCATTACCATAATTTTAGAACATTTTTAGCACCCCCCCCCAAAGTAACCCCACACATAATAGCAGTCACTTGACATTGCCCACCAACCATCCCCAGCCCCTGATAGCCATTAATCTGTCTTTCTGTATCTGTGGATTTGCCTATTCTGGACATTTCATGTAAATGGAATCACAATTTATGGCCTTTTGTGACTGGCTTCTTTCATTTATCATAATGTTTTCAAGGTTCATCTGTACTGTAGCATGTATCAGTATTTCATTCTGTTGTACAGGAATAATATTCCTTTGTATGAATATACCACATTTTATCCATTTTTCAGTTTGATGCACATTTGGGTTATTTCCACTTTCTGGCTATCAATAATGTTGCTATGAACGCTCGTGTACAAGTTTTTGTGTAGACATGTTTTTAGTTCTCTTAGGCATATACCTAGGAGTAGAATTACTGGGTCATGTGGTAACTATGTTTAATTTGTCCTTTTGTAGAACTGCCTGACTATTTTCCACAGCAGCTGCACCACTTTACTTTCCCAGCAGTAGTATGTAATGATTCCAATTTCTCATTCTCCATAACACTTGTTATTATATGCCACTTTGATTATTACCGTCCTAGTGGGTACGAAGTAGTATCTCACTGTGATTTTCATTTGCATCTTCCTGATGGCTAATGATGTTGAGCATTCTTTCATGTGTGGCCATTTTTATATCTTCTTTGAAGATATTCTTTACCCATTTTTTAAAAAATTCGGGTTGTCTCTTTTGTTGAGTTGCAAGAGTTCTTTATGTGTCCTAGATGCAAATCCCTTATCAGATATATGATTTCCATATATTTCTATTTTGATGAAGTCCAACTTATTTATGCTTTATTTTGTCACTTGTATTGTTTTGATGTTGTGTCTAATAAGACACTGCCTAATCCAAGGTCATGGAGATTTACACCTACATTTTCTTCAAGTTTTATAGTTTTAACTCAAGTCTTTGATTTATTTCGAGCTAATTTTTGTATAGTGTGAGATAAGAGTTCAAAAATCTTTCTTTTCCATGTGAATATTCAGTTGTCTTTGCAACAGTCGTTGAAAAGACTATTTTGTTCCATTGAATCGTCTTGGCACACTTACAAAAATCAATGTGTGGGTTTATTCTGGGCTCTCAGTCTATTCCATTGATCTATATGTCTGTTCTTGTGCCAGTACCACATAGTCTTGATTACTGTAGCTTTGTAGTAAGTTTTTAAATTAGGAAGTGTGAGTCCTCGAACTTTGTTCTTTTTCAAGATTATTTTGAATATTCTGAGTTCCTTGCATTTCCATATGAATTTTAGACTTGGCTTGTCAATTTCTGCAGGAGAAAATGGTATCTGGGATTTTGGTAGGATTTGCTATGAGTAATTCAATTTGAGGAGTATTGCCGTTTTTAAAAAAATTAAGTGTTCCAATCCACGAATGCAGATTTTAAAAATTTATTTAGATTTTTAACTTTTTTCAACAATGTTTTGTAGTTTTCAGTGTACAAGTGTTACACTTCTTTGTTAAATGTATTCCTTAGTATTTTCTTTTTAATGCTATTGTAAATGGAGTTGTTTTTTCATTTCATTTTCAGATTGTTTATTGTTAGTTTATGGAAATACAACTGGTTTTTGTATATTGACCTTGTATCCTGAAACCTTGCTGAATTCATTTATTAGCTTTAATATAGTTTTTTTTTTGTGGATTCTTTAGTTTTCTATATAAGATTATATCATCTGAAAATACAGATAGTTTTACTTCATTTTCTTACTTAGAACCTGGCTAGAACTTCCAGTAGAACATTGAGTAGCAATGATGAAAGCAGACATCCTTGTCTTATTATTGATCTTTGGGAAAAAACTTTCAGTCTTTCACCTTTAAGAATAGCATTAGCCGTGGGGCTTTCATATACGCTTTTTATCAGGTTGAGAAAGTGCCTGCCAACATGATCTGCAACTGTTTTCTGATTCAGTTCTCCCAGTAACCATATGATTTCTATATGGCATATAGGGAAATAGATGACAAATGGTTAAGAAATGTATTCAATATACACATCAAGTTAGAGATGAGACTAGGATATCCTGACTCACATTCCACAGTGTTTTCAACTATTTTATACTATTTCCTATGGTCCCCGCTGCAACTTTCTACAAACCCTTTTTTACTAAAAATATAAGCTCCATAAGGGTAGAGTTCGTGTCTGAATTTGCACCTCTTTTTCCCCAGAACCTAAAAGTGCCTGGCACCAAATAGGTGCTTGAGCAGTCTCAAGGAAGTAAAGCCAACTTCAACAAACAGATACTCTGGAGCCTTTATTATGTCTAAGGCAATGTGAACAATATCCCAACCCTCAGATTGTGGTTGAGGAAGAAAAGACATAGTCATATAAAAAGATTATATGAAGAGGTCTGATAATTAGAAATCAGTGGTAGTGACAGGTGCTTAAGTAGGCAGAGCCTTTCTAGAGGTAGAACAAAAAAAGTCTTCATGGAGGAGACAGGCACGAACAGCGCTTCGAAGGATGGTTAGGAACTAGCGTGCATGCGTATTGAGGAAGTACCTTAGGCAGAATTTTTTAACAGGAAGTTAAAAAATTAACTTCTTCATTTTAATTGTTATATGAAATGACCATTAAAACCAATCATTATTACATGCAAAGCAAAAATAATAATAGAGTGCATATAAGATTGAGTAACATTATCTTGTTTTTCTCAGACTCTCTTATCCTTTGGTCTTAGACTCAAACTGAGTAAAGTAAAGCAGCCTTTTCTCTTTGTCCAGAAAATTTATGCTCAATTTGCTTCATTCCCCTGATAGAAAACTTTTTCAGCCAACCTCAATTTCTGATCTACAAATCTTGTTCTTTGTGAATTGTAGCGTTTTTTAACAACTGCTTCAGTAGATCTCCTAGAGTTGAGTCTTAAAAGCTCTGGACTCCTCATCCTGCATGCTGGCAGCATCTTCCTTTGATAAGAAAACTAACGGAAGCTATCATGTGAGCAGGTCAGGGCTGCAATCTGAGAATTGTAGACCATTCATTCACATTTATCGATTACCCTTTGTGATCCAAGTATATGAATGATCAAGGCAGTATTCAGTGGGCATATAACAGGTGAACTATTATAATCTCATGGATAATCCATGGATAGTCTTTTCCTGTCACTAACTAGACTGAGTCTTTCAAATGCTGCATCCTTGAAGAGAAACATGTCTCTTTGTGGGACATAAATAATAGTGCCTAGCACTGATATATTTGAACATTTAATGTTGAGAAGCAAAAGCAGAGCCAATATTGATGTAGTTATGTTCAATGCAAAGCTGACCAGAAGCTATAGTACTCGTGGAGTGAATTATTTCAGAACTGTTTTGTGACGTAGTCAAGAGTTGAGAGGCCTCCAGAGCCACTGTAATAGTGTAATAGTACTATGTTCTCCCTCATTCCAAACTAAAGCTAGACACACGCACACATACACACACATACACACAAGGATGAGAGCAGAAAAGGGGCCAGCTGACAAAATTATTATCAGAATAAGTATAATGAAAATGAAAGCTTTCCAGAGGAAATTTTGTTGCACTTTGTTCCACCACAACCCCAAGTAGTCACAGGGTCAGTTGAATGTAATTCAGGTCACATGTAAGAGAAATTATTTTCATGAAAATAATTTTTTTTTGGATATTTACCAAAAATTTTTGAAAATAATGTAACCCACTACTTCCTTTGTTATAGAAACAAAACTCAAAAGTTTTACCCCTGGAAAG